GCCCGTTTACATTGCATGTGTAGCGTGCGCGTACACTTCATCCCGAATAGCGCAGAAACTTCCGCTCATCGCCCGTGAGTCGGCTCTGACTTTTCCATCGTAATTAAATTTACGTGTCGCTTCAGTACTGCTGACAGGTCGACCTGCACTGCTAAAAGCTTCCTTCTTCATCTGATGACATCGTGATGATTCTCGTTGGAAAAACCTGCTCCGCTACCACAAGTGTCCCGCGTCGGTGGGCACCTAATCCTTGATGAGAAGATACTCCACTGTGGCCGCAGTCTCTGATGGTCCTGGATCTGTTTCTCAAAGAGAATCTGATCGACCTCATGGTTGGCGCTGTTGTTTGTGGAAACCGACCTGATGGTTGACACTGTTGTTTCTGGAAACCGTGTCACCAAGTGCGCTTTGGTACTCAGCCCTTACCCCCAATAAGGCCACAGAGGTTACATTATAAACAATGACAAGATACACAAATCTCTATACACGCGCACATATACATGTGACTGTGCTCATATCTAGGTCTGAAGAAATGTTCTTCTGTGCGTGTGGTTCAGCTCTCGCGCTTGCACGCAGTCTGCCTGCAAAGTCATATGTGCATTATCTTCTTACACTGCGCGCAAGCCATGAGCCTCGTGCAAGCCCAAAAGGGCAACTATACAGAAGTGGGCCGATTCACTTTGCATGTGGCAGCCAGGCACATTGCTTGGTGCGAAAGTTCCAAAGGTAGATGAAGTTCTGGTCGGAACCTTGGATAGTCGGCACGAGCACACACAAAAGGCTATTGGTAATGGTAAACTACACCGGAAAAAAAGGCAATGTGCCAAAAGAGAAGAGAAAAGGCCTGTCTATTCAGCACCCTCAACGGAAACTTTCACCTGACATCCAATCCTTGCAAACTTGAAAGTAAGGAAAACAGAATGCAGCTGCATCCAAAATGCGTGACTGCACAGCCAGCCAATCTGGCCCCAAAGCTCGAGCCAACTCCAGTGGCATAGTTGGTGACAGCGCAGGCCTCATCGTCGGCTCCACAGGCTCCGGCGACAGCACCTGCTCCATGGGACTCGCGTGCGCTCGCTCGACCTGCGTGGCCACACTCTGCGCCGAAGCCGAGCGTAGAATAGGCCGCGGCTGCGGCTGGAAGTACGGGTGGCTCGATCTGTGTTCTTAGTTCGCACTGTCATGGCTCACATTTCGCGGGCATGCAATCCAACCGTCTTGACACAACGCTGTGTGTCAAAGTCACCACGACAGCAAACCAGAAAGGGCGCAGTTAGGTTGCGCATTCTAGGTTGAAACCGCCTGGTGTTCCCCACAAACGTATCTCAAACAGGGGGGGTTTCATTACGTGCAAAACAAGGTAGGAACTCACTAAGTCTCTGTGACTCCCTATCGGTCCTTGCACCTGGGGCACACCATGCCTCATGCCTGGAAAAAAACAAGAACTGACGATTCGTATGGAAATCCAGGCACCTCTCGGAAATAGCCTCTGAAATTCCCAACAAACAGATAACACTATTTTTGCACACGGCTTGTCATAGACGCCCGATATGTTTCGTGCGTTTCTTGGGAACCACAAGGCTGAGGCTGCCTTGATTTAGGAGCTTCCATACCAGGCCACTTGGAGGGAGCGGCGCCCACGCAACCCCACGAGGCTGCACGATGTGCGCCCCCGCAACCCGAGGCTGCACGATCCGTGGCCGTGGGGGAATCACGGACATGGCTGCCCCGCTGAGCGCTCTAAGTCCAGAGCCCAAAATCTTTTCAGAGAAGAGCCAACCAACGGAACGACTTTCCATTCTATGACATCATTCTCTTCCCTGGAACAGGTTCCTAAAGAAATATGAAAGGGATTCGACACACATTGCGCCAAAAACCCCTCCTGCGATTGGAAACAACATCGACATCCATCGAACACGGAAGAAGAAAAAACTGCATGTCAGGACAGACCCACAAACCAGTGAATGATATCTCTTCATATCCCTCTAGTTCCTTGAGAAATCTAGAGGATGTCCGGGACCTCGCAAGCTGCCCGTTGCTGCTTGTATTCGAACCACTGAAGTTCATGAACTGAGTTGCTGGAATGATTCGTATGCTTGAACACCATGGGGTCTGAACTTACAAGTTCGACTGACCAGGGTGGGAAGCCGAATTAAGACCTACCTATTCCTATCCCTGTATTTACTGGAGCCTAACTAAGACGCACATATTCCTACCCCGCCAAGTACTTGGGTATAGCTACAACTAAGATCTATCTATTACTATCCCTCCAAGTACTCGAGCCTAGCTAAGATCTGTCTGCTCCCACTCCTGCAATTGTGTGAGCGCAACTGGGATTTATCGATTCCTATCCCCCGACTTGCTTGAGCGATCTAGAGGATGTCCGGGACCTTGCAAGCTGCGTTGCTGTTTGTACTCGGACCGAAACCGATGAACTGGTGTGCTGAAATGTATATAATGATTGGACAACATAGGGTCTGAATTCACCAGTTATATTATTTAAATAGGAAGCCTAGCTAAGATCTACCTATTCCTATCGAGCCTAACTAAGATCTATCTATTGCAAAAGTAAAGTAAATTAATTGACTTATTGAAGATATTGAAATTGGCAAATGGGGACTTGAAAATATAGCTCGCACGCTACGCGGTGCTGTTTGTATTCGAACCACTGAAGTTCATGAACTGAGTTGCTGCAATGATTTGTGTGCTTGAACACAATGGTGCCTAAACTTACAAGTTCTACCTACCTATTCCTATCCCTCTATTTACTGGAGCCCAACTAAGATGCACATATTCCTACCCCGCCAAGTACTTGAGTATAACTACAATCTTGCTATTGGAAGCCTAACTAAGATCTATGTATTATTATCCCTCCAAGTACTGAAGCCTAACGAAGATCTGTTTGTTCCAATTCCTGCAATTGTGTGAGCGCAACTGGGATTTATCGATTCCTATCCCCCGACTTGCTTGAGCGATCTAGAGGATGTCCGGGACCTTGCAAGCTGCGTTGCTGTTTGTACTCGGACCGAAACCGATGAACTGGTGTGCTGAAATGCATAAAAAGATTGTACAACATAGGGTCTGAATGCTCCAGTTACATTAATTCGAATCGGGCAGCTCCAGCGGCACCTGGCCACCATTTCACTAGTTCAAATAATTCAAATATGAGAAAAATACTTAAATGATTCAATTTTATTTACATTATTTGAGCTAATTGAATTCGAAAAGTGGGTTTGCCAATGTAAAAATTCCAAATTAATTAACTTATCTATACTGATTCAAAGCAGTAAATTACTTTTAAATTATGCATATTATTTAAATGGGGTCATTAAATATTTTAATTAATTTAAATTTAGTTGAATTGGCCAACCCTCCTTTTCCAATTCAACTAATTTAACTAATTTAAATAATTTAAATAATTTAAATAATTTCAATATTTTAATTAATTTAAATTATTTGAATTGGGAAACCACCCTTTTCCAATTCAAATAATTTAAATAATTTAAATAATTTAAATATTTTAATTAATTGAAATCATTTGAATTGGCAAACCTCCCTCTTCCAATTCAAATAAATTAAATAATATAAATAATTTAAATAATCTAAATAATTTAAATCATTTAAATAATTTAAATAATTTAATCAATTTAAATTATTTGAATTGGCAAACCACCCTTTTCCA